CAAATTTATAATTAGTCCACTGAGAAGGTTTTCCAAGCTCTTCCTTCCAAGTTAGCTGTGAAGTCTCAAAGCCTCTTCCAAATTTCTGAACATTCTGTCTCTTTGTTTGCTTATAGGAAATGTGATGCTGATCTTATATATATGTATACATACATATACATACTCTTTGTTGGAAAAACTGCACATCGTAAGGTAACTGGTACTAGTTCTCACAGCTTTCACTCTTGGCTAAAAACAGACCAGAAAGTGATTACGGCAGCAGATGTCATACAATATAAATGCTGTGTTTGGTCATTTTATGATTTTGCCTATCGCAGACAGATAGCTAGACAGCTAGAGCAACTGCACAAATGGGCTCTGAAGTCAGTCATTCAAGGAGAAAAAAAAGGAATGGGTGAGTTGTACTAGTAGTGCATGAGTCACTTCCCTTCATTCTGGTGAGTGGTTTTAGGGACACTGCACTAATTTTGCTCTGCCCATGAACATTTGTCCTATCCTTTTTTGCTTGTTCTGACAATCCTCTGAGACTCATCGTGAGAAAAATAAAATATAAAATAGCATATCAATTTTGCTTCTAATTCCTCACACCTTCATAATTCCTTAAAATTCCACATAACTTGATGCAACATTTTGCTACCTACCCATCCTACAGATGAAATTCATTCTGTAGGCTAAAATGTGGTAGTCGAATGGCATCCATGCATTTGGAATTCCTGGATCACCTTCTAGACAGGAAAATATGTAATTTCTGCTGAACCAGATACTACAAGCAAAGAGCTTTAAATTCTCCTGTAATTGCAGCAAGTATATTTATAATCCATGCAACAACTTCCATATAATCAACTAGATAAGCATCTGAAAAAGAGCAGATGAGATAAACTATCAGCCGCTGTGTTTTTGATTTGACTACACAGAAATGAAAGCAATCTTGCTAGCCATCTGCAGACAGTTCTTGCTCCTCTGAGTCTTTCTGCAGTTAACAGAACTTCCAGGGAGGTGTGATCTGGGTACAGCCTGAGTGTGGTGCCTCAGACGGGAGTTCTCTTCTGTAGTGCATGCACAAAGAAATGTTTCCTTTCTCACACTTTTATGATACAGTGTAAATGCTCTTGGTTCACATACAATGGACTTCTCATAGAAATTGTCCCCGTGGATTTGAGTAAAAGCAATCCCATATTCATAGTATGAAAGAATGGTGGCAGCATGGCCCAGGGATGTGCTGCCTGGAAAAGGAAATTAATTCGAGTGTAATTCCAGTGTGGCTGCTTGGTGGGCTGTCCATGCTGTACCACCTTAAATTTGATGGGATGACAAAGCAAATCCCTGGTTAGCTATGCCTGGGTTTGTTAGGTCAGCTGTGATGCTACAAAAAGAAGCCTAAGCCTTTATCTGGCCTCTGGAGGGCTAGAAGAGTGCAAAAGAAACTTCACAATAGTTGGCCATTCCTGGTCTAAGACAAAAGAAATGCCAATTGTACACAGTTGAAAAAAAAAACACTGAAGTGAGCAGCAGAACTACTGACTGCTTACAGCCAAAGCTTTCACTGGTAGACAATCAGCTATAAGATATAGGGTAAAGCTGGGGTTTATGACTTACTATTCTTAGCAGTTCTACAACCATTCAGTGGTCAGGAACAGACAAGTATATCTTGATTTTAAACCTGAAAAAAAATGTGCTTGTCTCTTTTAAAATTATTTTTTATTCTTTCCAAAGAAAGGTGAGCTCTTCCATGTGTTCTATGACCTCTTTCAGGAGCTATGTAAAAAATGCCATGCCCAAGAAAAGACTATGTGGTGTACCTTGTTTACCATTCAGCAGAATTCAGCTTCAGCCCCTCCTGTATTGACATGTTGAAGTACAGCCTGTAGGGTGGTTTTTTTTTTCATGAGCTTAAGGAGTCTGTCCAAATACAGTAATATTATCCAGATAATACTAGATTCCAAGCTTGTTATTAAGAATTATTAGCATATTTGAAAAACTCTGAATGTTGATTCTGGGCCATATGGCATATGAACAAAAGAGAAAAGTCCATTACGTGTAAGAAACGCTGTGAACCTCATGCGTTCTGAATGCTTGGTAATATGTGTTCTTTAAAGCAGGAGTAGAAAACATACTCTGCAGAAAATACAGCACTGTTTGTAAATGGCTAACTGTCCATCACGATGGCTTTTTTTGGCTTCCTTAGGTCCATAGAAAAACAAGTACTTCAGTTTGATTTTTGTCACCACTGCGCTGAAATTAATTCAGAAAATGCAGTGTCTTCATTAGCATCATTCCGGGCTATTTTTTAAATTATCTTGTGACTCAGCATCTCTCATTCAATTGTAGAAAATATAATTTCCATTGTAATAGCAGCACATTAGATTGAATTTTCATGCTGTGAATAAACCCTTCTGCACATCTGGTATTTCCATGTAATAGTTGATACTATTTCTTTTGTAACAGCTGAAACTGGAATTTGTGTTGCAGAAATGTTTGGTTGTACTGAAGCATTGCAGCCAGTATGAATGTGCGTACTTATTGCAGTTTACAGATTTCTACTTGGAGCATTATTGCACACAATAAAGAATTCAGCAATATGTATCAAAAGTCATTTTCACATGCAGGAAACAACAGTGTTGTTCTTCAGGTACTTTCACTAGATGTGTCAAATGCTGAACTTCTATAGCATTATAGGGAAATGCATTCACTGAATACTGAAATGCAGAAGCCAGTGGCCAGTATTATTTTAGTAACTTATCTACATTACCCTGAAAAAAAAGGTAAACACACACTATCCGCAGTCAGTACAGTAACATCTGGCACTGTAATTTCACATAAATACTGCTTACGTAGAATTTAATGGTATATTTGAATCTAACATCTTTCTTCAATATTTATACAGAGTCACACTTGTCATACATTCAAGCATGCATACAGTTCCCTGAGATCATGGCTCTGAGATATGCCCTACGTATGCTGAGCTTTCAGCCATAGTTCTAGTGGTTGCAGCGTGAATGCTGTTCACCACTTCTCACTCTTGATTTTGTGATTGTCAGTTCAGTTAGAGCAATGGTTACAATCTCCTTAGCGTCAGATCTAATTCAAGCAGTAAATACTATTTATAATCAATAGGAAATCCTTTCTTCTATAAGCTCAATTTGACCTTTTTCTTCTGTGCTTCAAGTCTTAGTTAGACCTGATTTTTCACACCCTCAAAGCAGCAGTGCACTGTGCTGTTGATTGCTTTGTTTCTAGTACGCTGGCAGTGTTTATAAAATTCAGCTACAACATGTATTGCAGAAAGAATTATTTCGTTGCAGTGGCATGGATTCATTTTCTTTTTTATCATGAGGAAAAAGCATGCAGAATGCACACTAGCTCTCTGCTCAAATACATCATACAGTGTAAATGGTTTTCTTTCTCCAGCAAGGTCAGGAACACTAAGTATGTGATTTCCAACAATTTGCATTTGAACAACCCAAGGAACTGAGGAGCACCTGGACTTTGTAGGAATGATGCAGACGAATTCAATAGCAGCACAGAAACTGGTCCCATTTCTGCAGTAGCTGAATAGAAAGGATGCAATACATGTATCCACAGAAATACCAGAAAGTGTGGTCCTGGTTACAGCAGACAAAAGCACAAACCAATCAAACCACTAAAACCCCCTAAGATTTAAAGGGTCCCTAAACTTCTCTTTACTCAAGAAATATCCTCCTCTGCCCAATACCACTGTTGCAAGCCCAAAGCTCTCTTCAGAAATGGGAAATTCAGTTCATGTTATGTATGTGAAGCAACCAGACCAACAGCCAGATCATCACCTATCTGCAAACGGGCAGGAAACTAACAGAAATGTTTATTTTAGCCATGTATAACGAGAGTGACTGATCAACCTCACTGTGCTGTTTTGCTTTTGTTCTAGTTTCAACATTGAGAACAGTGACAGTATTTCAAAGGCAGCTTTATTGAAGTAGTTAACAACTAAAAACTTAGGCGTTAGCACGGGGGAGATGTGAATGAAGCCCATGTTATAAAGGAATAGGAAATTACTAACGGCAAGGAAATGCAAAAGGAAGGAAAAAAAAAGTAGGGCAGAGATATAAAAGGCATAAAACAAAGAAACAAAGCGTTGACAAAGAAGTTATACTAATAGTGAGCATTTCCTTTCTAGACGTTACTAAGGTGACAAAAAATACTCAGTAAATAATAAAGTTAAGGAATACAGAGCTGTTCCTACAACTGAATGATTTAAATCTGTTACACAAGCAAACTCAAGCCTGAAGCAGTCCAGCTTCAACATTTTTCTCTCAAACACTTCCGAGGCATTCCAAATCCTCTGGTTGATTCTGGACAGCCTGGAATCAAAACAAAATCTAGATGCAACTGTTTTAATAGAATTTTGTTTCATTAATTATTTTCATTTGGGTGTGAAAAAGTGTTACGAAATCTGGGAAGGTTCCGTGGCGATGAACTACCTTCCACAGATCACATCCAGCTGTAAAAGACAGGGAAAAAGAACAGGACAATTGTGAGGTTGGAGCCCCACGCAATGCCAGAGCTCTGCAAGGGCAATCAGGCATCCTCTGCTGCTTCCTCTAGGGCTGCTCTGTCCTTCTCTAGGTAAGAAAACCTTAGTGTTGTGCTTCTTTGGACTGATTTGTTTGTTTGTTTTTCCAGTGAATTGTGCACTGGATGGGAAATTATAGTTTTACTACTATGGATGCCAGCAGACCAGCAGTGCTGCTGGGGAGGGATGAAGGAGGGCACGAGCACTGACCAGATGGACACACAAAGCCTAAAGAATTTGAAATTCATTTCAGTCTAAGTAAAAAACACCACAGTGTTTCAATGGTATTCCCCCAATAGTTTAACGGCTGGGGGAGGGGAGGAGATAGGGGAGAAGCCCCCACCGTAATATCCTGTAACTCAGGAAGGTGTGTTAAACCCACAGCTTTCCACGTTGTGGGCATCTTAATCCTAAGGCATCCAATAAAGGAGAACATCCTTCAGGCTTTTACCAACCCAGCTTTCACCAACTCCTTTGTTTATCCTGCAACAGAACGGAGGGTTTCTCCCCGCTCCGACAGGAGCCCCGCAGCCACCGGCTCCTCCTGAACCCACACCTCCTCGGCGGGGGCTCCCGTGCCAAATTTCGACACGGCTAGAGGAACCGGGAGGACGCAGGCGGGAGCCCCGCAGGCACCCGCAGCCCGGGGCGGCCGCCCGCCCGGAACGCCCGGACCAACCGCCGAACCCCGAGCAGTGAGTAGGCGCCGGCGAGGAGATCGCGCAGCGGGGAAGGGCCGGGCCCCGATTTTCGGCTGCGCTGGGAGCGCAGCGAGTGGCGCCCGGCGGGCGGGCGGGCGAGGAAGGGGCCCCCGAGAAGAGCCGCGACGCAGGGCGCGGGACGGCGCCAACGGGTACCAAGCGACCCCGGCGACCCCGCCCCGGCAGCGCCCTTCGCGTCCCTGGGGAGACGCCCCGTCCGCCCGCCGCGCGGCACCACGGGAGTTGTAGTCCGGCCCCCTCCCCGCCGCCCCCGGCCCAGGGGGGGAGAGAGGCGCCGCGGCCGCTCTCGCGAGGCTTGGCGGCGGGCGCGCTCTGCTCTCGGGCGGCCTCCTCGCGAGGGCGGCCGCCGGCGGCGGGGGGACGTTTGGTGCGGGCGCCATTCCCCCGCGTGACGTCATAGTGCATTGTTGTGAGCGTAGCGGAGCATCCCTCAAGCTGTCAGCTGAGCCGCCGCGGCGGGGAGCCGAGCTGGCCCGGCCCCCCTCCTCCCCCGCCTCCGCCTCCTCCTCCTCCGCCCCCGCCCCTCCCGCCCCGGGGGCTCCGGCGTTCGGTGTCAACGTATCATTGTCCGTGCGGAACCCCTCCGGGCCCCCCCCCTCTCCCTCCCTCCTCCCGTCCCCCCGGTCCGCCCTCCCCCCGCCCCCGCCCCCCACCGAACCACCTCAATGAGATGCAAACATGAAAGACAAGAGGAAGAAGA